AAGCAGCATAGACTTGTAATCCATAGTGAAGGCAGCATATGTGGCACAGGGTTCCTGCCACCCCTCCTCCTGCCATTCTGTCCTCATCTACTACTACTCTCCCCCTCACCCTTCCAGCTCCAAAACCATTGGCCTCCTTCTGTCCTTTGATATGCTTTGTTAAGCAGAAATCTTCAAAAATGATCCTGGATGTTCACTTTGGGTTACCTGGACAATGAGTTAATTGGGACCACGCTGGTTCTGGCAGGAGGGGTTGTCCCAAAACTTAGCTCCACACGGGGCTGATGGCTTCCTTCCCCTGGCAGGAGGGGCTACAAATTCTCATGGAACTCAAGATCCCCAAATAACTTCTATAAACACCTGGCACCTCAAATCCCACCTGCCTGACTCCAAGCCATGTTTATTACCCCACTGAGAAGGTCACTTTCACAGAGAGTTAGGTCCTTCCACTGGAGCACAAACCCACTGTGTGTCCAGCCCCAGCACACCTCACTGTGAGATGAAAAGAGGGTAGGCAGTTGCGTGCCTCTTCTAATCCCATTAATCTCTCATTTGCATGATTCCCCAATAAAGCCTGTTCCTTATGCATTTTGCGGGATGTTGTAGAATTTACCCTGAGCCCAGCCAGATAATCCCATATCAGCACAAAGATATTCAACGTGTGCGGCCCTTGGATATTCCCAATGTGCTCCTGCCTTTGCACTTGGTATGTATTCTGCCTGTAATATTCTTTCCCAAGACTTGTTTACAGCACATTCTTTCATTTCCTCCTGGTCTCTGCTAAAATGTCTCCTCATTACAAAGCCCTTCCCTGACCACCCAAAATGAAATAGGGATTTGGTCAGCCCCCAGCTTTCCTTTTATAGTCTGTTTTATTTGTTTATTATCTGTATTCCCCAGCTAGGCTGTAAATTACTTGAGGTTAACACTTTATTTTGTTTCCTGTTATACCCCCAGTGTCTAGACGAGTACCCAATATGTAGCAGGTGCCCAAAAATATTTGTGGAAAGAATGCATAAATGAAAAGAGATGGCTATTGAGTGGACAATGAATTGCAGCCATAGCAAGACTGAAAACTAGGACTTCATTTAGGAAGCTAGATCTGTGAGCAGGCAAGAGATCGTGTAACTTGGATTAGGTTGGAGAAATGAGATGGGAGAATCATGTGAAGATAGGTTTTGGAGAAGAGTTTGATAGGATTTACTGGTAGATTTGATTTGGTGGGTGAAGGATAGAGGAGAGTTAAGGATAACTCTCATGATCAACAGCTGAGTGGATAGGATTTCTGTTTACTGAGATGGGAAAGGCTTGTGGAGAAGCCAGTTGGGGTGGGTTGGGAGGAAAGCCAAAAGTCTGGACACAATAAGTTTGAGATATCTATTAGACATCCAGGTGCAGTTATCATGTAAGCAATTGGATGTACTAGGTTCTAGTTTGCAAGGAAAGGTCATGGTGGAAACATAAATTTGGGAGTTTTATATGGTTTTTGAAACCAAGGGACTGTTTTAATTAGTATAAGGAAAATGTATTAATAATGAAGAGAAGAGAGGGTCAGAGAGAGTCCTGTGACCCTCCAGCATTTAGGGGCTAAACAGAAAAGAAAAGGCAAGCAAAATGGATTGAGAAGGAATAGTCAGTGAAGAAGGAAAATAAAAACAGAAGTATGTGGAGTCTTGAACACCAAAAGAAAAAAGTGAGGATGCAGAGATTAATTAATATAAATTTTATGGAGGGAAAATGGCAATATGTATCAGTGTCTTAAAGGTAATCACGTTTTTTATTAAGTAATTCAACTCCTAAAAATCTAGCCTATAAAATTCTAAAAACTGTGCAAGAAGATTTATGCACAGGAGATTTTCATTGAAGCATTATTTCATAATAGGCAAAAATTATGTAGAACATAAATGTCCAAAAGTAGGGCATTAGTTAAATAAATTGTGATACAGTCATACAATTGAATATTATGTAGCCAGTAAATTATGTTTATGAAGAGCTTTTAATGATCTGAAAAAAATGCCTAAAAAATGATATAATGTTGAATGAAAAAAACAGCATGCAAAATTTTATATACAGTATGATCTCAATTATTTAATCATACATACTTGTTGAAATGTGCTGGAAAGAAATATGCTGAAATAGAAATACAACCTGTAGGTTACAGGGTTATGAATAGTTATTATTATTTTTCCTTTGTTCTTTGAATTTTACGTTATCATGTATTTCCTCTATAAACAGAAAACATTAGAAATAATTGTTTCTGAAACTGAGCTGAAATCTGTCTCACTCTTATCAAGTCAACTGGTTCTTGTTGTCCTTTTATAGAGATGAAAAAGTGAGCAAATTTACCCCCTTTTATCTGGGACAGCCCTCAAATATTTGAAGAGATCTGCCAGACAGGAGTTTTAGCTTTTCCTGTGATTCCATGTCGCTCTGCCTTTCAAGCTCCCAAGGAAAGAAATCATCTGTGTCTCTTCCATAGCTCCTCATAGAGAATCTTGTACATCATTTATCACTTATTCTGAGATTAGCCTCTCTAAACTTCAGTTTTCTCATGTGCAAAATGGGAATAAATTGTTGGGAGGACTACGTTTAGCATGACATTGTATGTAGATGTCTTTTATAATCTGAACACAAATGTGAAAGAGTGGAAGTCATGAGAGGATTATCAGAGACAGTGGGAAAGGAGGGAGAAGAGAGGTAATCAGAGCATGCCAGCTGTATCACTAACTATAGCAGTGGTCTAGGTCAGTGACAAAGACTCTTTTCCATTAAATGGATTATAACAGCTTCTTGTATTATTGCCCAGGGTAGTTAGGAAGAAGTGAGGTGAAAGATACAAGCACTTCTGACACGTGAAAAAGCACAGTGTGTATGCAAAAATTTATCATTTCCACATTGGGACCTTTTCCTCCACTCCATACTCCCTAGCCCCTCATACGACAGGACCCACTGGGAATTTGTGATGCTGTCACAGGTGTGTATCATGGTAAGACAGACCAGACCCATCACCAGTGAAGCCCAACTCACAGTCTCCAAATTGGTACATCATCAACATCAAGATCTTACTCAAGAGTCTAATTCCTCTCCTCTCTCAACCCATTCAACTCCTGGGCACTCTTTAGGACTCCACTCAGCTTCCAGCCCATCCTTGAATGTTTGAGCTGGGCAGACATGAGTTCATATCATTACTTTCATATTTACTTGCTATGTGACTCAAGGTGTATTATTAATTTTTCTGAGCCTTTATTTCTTCATTTATAAAATAAGCCTAATAACAGATACTTACTATGGTTCTATGGATTAAGTGATTAACATATATAAAGTTCCTAACATAAGATCTATTCACAGAAGGAAATTAATAAATCTTAGTTTTCTCCTTCCTTCTTACTCTCCTTCCCTCTTTCCTTCCTATTTTCCACAGGAATCCTCTCACTTTTCCAGAACTGTTCTTGCTGTTCCACCTTCTACCTGAAGTGCTTTTCCCTGCTTCTCTAAAAGTTCAAATCCTACTCATTCTAAATGACACTCAGGCCATGAAATTTTACTTGAACCTTCTTACTGAAGTATTTCTTCTTCTACTGCATACTTATAGAACTTATTATTCCTCCATTTTGGAACGCATCAATTTCTAATTTGCCATTGAACTTTGTGTTGATGATTTCTTTGTATTGCCTGAAATTGAATTTCTTGAGACCAGGAGTGACCTATAGCATGATGGCTCTGAAAGGTCTTATAATCTACTCATGCATCTTCACTTTAAATATAAAGAAACTGAGACCCAGAGATGTGAACTGGTTCTCCAGGGTCTTCTGTTTAGTTGGAGGCAGAGCTAGGCCTGGGATTGGATTTTCTGATGACTTTCTCCATTGGTTCATACCAATGGAAGTGGATGAGTCACTAAAGGCTTTCTCCTTGAATTCTCTGTCCCAGACTCTCCTTCATCAGAAGCCAGTGGGGTAGGAGTTTGGGGCTTGAAATATGAGCTTTATCAGTGTTGAGTAGGTATTGCTGCTACTTTGTGGAGTCTTTCTTAGGCCATTTTCATTTATTGTAAACCAGTAAACTATTGTTCTTCTCTCTCCTCACCCCCTCCCTTATCAGTCTGTTACCCTCACCTACTGATGATTCAACCATTTGGAAAAGAAGGTATAATAGACGGGTAAAAATTGTCCCCCTGGACTCTAGGACAAGACAATTCTCAAATTTGATTGAGTGAATGGCCAGCTGACTACTTTTGGTAAGAAGGTAGGCCTTGACCAAAGGTCTCTTCTTGAGTTGGGTATTCTGTTTTCTTCAACTGATGACTTTCAGTGTTTTCTCTTTTTCCATAAAAACAATTTTCCCCAAATCTGAAGACAAAATATCTTCTGCAAAATGTTGGTCTGTCGTACATCTTATTGATTATTTACAGGTTAGGGCTCAATTACTGCTGCAATTTTGTTTTCAATCCAAGGTTTCTGTCTTCCTTAGAAGGGTGCTCTAATTAATTGGCATGTAAATGAGGCATTGGAGCTATGGGTTTATCAAGGGCTTCACATAGTTCTCAAAGACTTTCTCATCTCATTTTCAAGGCAATTTGCATACTTTCTCTCATAGTTCTCCTTCCACTTTTCTTTGAAGAAACCTCTTATGTCCGTGGGTGTTCTGTGTATACAACTCCCTTGACCTAACACTTGTAGTTTGCTTTCCCCTGAACAATGCTATTTATTGCCTTAGGCGAAAGTGACACATTTCCATCACTGATGAGCCTCCTGAAAGATTCAGTGTCTTGGGTCTGGCTTGAATGTATCTAAAGCCGGGGTTGTACATCCTGTCATCTTTAGAGATTCCATGCACAAATTAAAGAAAAAATGCACTGCTCCATGTAGAAAAGAGTAATAATCCTTCATAAATAAAGTACCTTTCTTTTTGCTATGCTAATTATATTTAGATGAGTTTGCTGAAGAATGGGTTATTTTTTCTTCCTCATCTTCAGCGTTCAAATGGCATGAAGCAATGATGTCTTCATGAAAGATGAATCACTCTGTCTCTTGACCGACACTTTGGTTACATTCTATTGTTGTGGAAGAAGGGAGACATTCACCTTTTTCTGAAATTGAGTTGGGTACTTACTGGTCTTCATCTTCTCATAAAGCAAAAAACATGTCACTTCAAATGCTTACATGTCCACAGTGTCATTCATTTATTCCTTTATTCAGAATATAAATGCTAGTTGAATGGCATTTCATGCCAGACGCTCTGCTGGATTCTGATAAAAGGCAGAGTCCACCTCTAAGGGTTTGAAGGCTTAGCACAAGAACTCTGATATATATGGTAGGGGATGGAGTAGGCCAAGAATTAGGAAAGGTGCATTTTGGTCCTGGATTAGTCATATTTTATGACCCTGGACATGTCATAACTGAGGAAACATGGTTCAAAATATAATTCCATGTTTCATCAATTTAAGATGCCATCAAGTGTAAGATGAACGTTATCTTATGTACTACCAAGAAAAATCAAAAACTGCTCTCTAAATTATGATAAAACACTGTCTTATCCAATTGGATTTTTTATTTTTATATACTGAAATAGCTCCTCTAGACTTATTTAAACATAGATTTCTAAAATTGTATGTCTTTTTTTGTAGACACCAAAGGAAAATAAAACTTCTTCGGAGTTGGAATCTTCTGAGTCAGTTTTCAGCTGTTGTCAACGCCTATGCTTTTCTCTCAGTATCATTTTATGAATCATTAAGAATGCTGGTGATGTGAGCTTCTTTGAAAGAGCGTGCCTCTTGGGATTCTGGCCTTTACTTTCTAAGCTACTAACGTCCATCCTGCAAGTTTTAACACTGAAAGTTTCTTTGTCTCACCAGAATGTGTCAACTGGTGGTTTTCAGACAATTACTAAAACTGAAACTCCTCCCTCAAATGCTTTGTTGACTGAGAGGTCCAAGAACTGAAGTTTTTTGATTATCCTACCAGTAATAACGTGTTTTCTTATGCACAGGCAATCACAACCATTTCAAGCTTACCACCTGGCCAACAATAATTGGAAGACACCAAGTTTTCAGAAATTTTAAAATGTATGTGTGTGTGAGTGCATATTGTAAACATTGGCCTAAAAAGCAGCCTAATAAGACACTTTAACGTACTGGTGCTAAGTAGAACAGCGGTCATAAATGTGGCATGACGAACCCAGACTTCTCCCCAGCTTCCAACCCTAGGGCATAGAAAGAAGAGGATTGAGCACAAAAGCTCTTCATTATTAAATTATTGGAGATGTGTTAGTCCTGTGAGAGAGAGTGAAGAATAGGGAAGATGTCTATGTCTTCTTATGATAAGGTCAAGGTATTAGTTCTTAAGAAAGAATCAAAGCTATGTTAATATGAGGGATTTGGATTTCCTATGTACACTAGAGAAGAAGAGGGTGTTAGTGGGAAGTTAATTCTAATGGTGGCCAAATATGTTTGATATTGAGTACTCTAAGTCTTGCTACTCAAAGCTTAGTCCAAAAACTGACACCACCTGAGAGCATGAGAGAAATGCAGAATGTCAGGGGCCACCCTAGATGCACAGAATCAGAATCTGCATATAACAGCATCTTCATTAAAGTCTGAGAAGCACGGCCTTGGGAGAGTTTTCTACCAGGCAAATACATGCATATACCATCAGGGACCCCAGAGCTAATGGACTCCTGAGAAGCAGATATTCAACACCTGAGCCTATTAAAAATGTAATCTACTTGAAGGTTTTAAGGATGGCTGAGGTTTAATCAGTTTTGTAGGTAGGAACAGTGAGTTCTGGTTTAACAAAATTGGAGGCAGAACTGAACTCTATATGGGGCAGGGTTTAAAGGGAGAGGGCTGCAAATGCAGAAAAGAAAGCTTGGCAATGAGAAAAACGCAGGTGGGACATTCTCTGAAGGCCTGGGAGAGAATATCTGAGAAATCCTTGCCCCAAAGATCCAAGGGGAAGCTTTGCTTTGGTACAGGGCACACAAGAGCCAGAGCAGGATAATGCCTAACTCCCCCACCCCTGTCTGCTCTGCAGGGTTGGTAACAATCTTTGACCTCCCAAGTAAAATATTACCTAAAGTAGTGGCTTTCAAACTTTCAAACATTTTTCACTTCCCATTCACAGTAAGAAATAGATTTTACATTAGTTATAAGTGAAATAAATATTTCATAAAACTATATTCACCCTCCTATCTAATGCATTCTGATATTTTATTCTATTCTATCATTTTATTTTTAAAAAAATACCAGGGTGACTTACTAACATGATTTCATGATCTACCAATGGGTAATGACCTACACTGGGAAATACACTAATGCAATCTATTTTCACTTGGGGGAAAAAGGGGACCAGTTAAGATGGGGACCCCCTTCCTCCCTGGTCTTCAATGAGATCAGGACTATTTGTCTTCAGTGTAGACACCTGATTGGTTTGTAGACAAGAGTCCACAGATAGCACAGTGGTTCTGCTCTCCTCCCTCTCTAGGGAACATGGAAGACACATTCTGTGGAAGAGAAGAAATGAGAAAAAGGAGCAACAGCAACAGTCACAACTACCACATAGGTTACACCAGTGATTTGGTGGATAAGAGCAAGCTATTTGTTTGCCCTAGTCATGACAAAGTATTTTTATAACAGGACAAAAAATTAGAGTAAAAATATTTACCATATTTTCTCTCACATGGGCTTTATGTGAAGGTTTTGAGAGGATTTAAGGGAGGGCCAGATTGCTTTCGTTAACAAAAAAGATGGTCACTGTCTTGGTCCATTTGGGCTGCTGTAACAAAATACCACAGACTGGTGTCTTATGAACTACAGAAAGTTGTTTTCCACCATTCTGGAAGCTGGAAGTCCCAGATCAGGGTGTCAGCATGGTCGGGCGAGGGCGCTCTTCTGAATCTCAGACTTCTCACTGTGTCCTCACATGGTAGAAGGGGCAAGGGAGTTCTGTGGGGTCTCTTTTATAAGAGCACTGATCTCATTCATGACGGCTCTACCCTCATGACCTAATCAATTCCCAAAGGCCCAACCTCCTAACACCATCACATTGGGCACTAGGATTCCAACATGTGAATTGTGGGGGGCACAAACATTCAGATCATAGCAGGAAGAGAGGGAAATGAACAGAAAGGAGGCCAGAAGGGAGAGAGGAGAGGAGAAAGAGCGGGCAGAGGAAGTTTAAGAAGAAAAGGAGACTGGAAAACCTGCTCTGTAGTGAAGAAGGTTTTTATAAAATTTGGATATATCAAATATAGTATAATTCCTCCCTCGACATACTACCCAACTCTAAGAAAATCTTTAGAAAAGTGCTATATTACCTTTTAAAGCTTTTGTGGACATGTGTGTATGTTGCATGTGGTGAAATGGACCTTAAGGCTGCAGCCAAAGGACCAGTTTAATTTGGATTACAGAAGTAAAGTGAAATAACAGCCTTAACTAATAAGTTGACTCTTTGCTGATTGAGAATTTGAGGGAGTCATCCATTAGGAAGAATGAGTAAATTACAAGTGGATTACAAACATCTGATTTACACTCGTAAGTATTTGCAAGCAAGACTACAAATGTTTGCCTATAAACATTTTCTCAGCAAGATCAAAGTGGGTCTGATGAACCATGAGGTCTTTGCCGATTTAAAAATTTAAAATGGCCTTGTAAATTTCTGAAGGCACTATCAATAATATCAATATTGGCTTCTGAGATCTATCAGTGAACTACAAATTCTGATCTCACCTAGGTCAAAGTCTTAAAGAGAAACATGATTTTCTTCATTTCCACAAAATTGAAAGAGATCTATAGAATATTTATAGATAGGAGGACACTCCTCCTCCATAAAATTAAGTTCTTACAGGATTTCAATTGATTAAAAAAACCTTAGGATATGACGGGAGGCAGAAGCAACATTTCAATGAGACTTTTTTGGGAAAAATCAAACAACACACCATGAGATTGAATGAGCCTATGTTTCCCTGGGACCAGAGCTGACCATACTCAATGTGTTGAGATTATTGAGAACTGTAACATCACTGAAGCTTAAGTTATCCAGAGAAAAATATTTACTGAGCTTCCCTTGAACTTGAGATGAGACCTGTACCCCCTGCATGTCTAAGAGGTTCCTTTCTTGTCTCAGCAGACGAAGCTGTGCCACATGAAGTGGTTATGCGTGAGTCATAGTGAGGAAATAAGAAGATGGCCCCCACCACCCAAAGACAATAGATGAGCTCTCCTCATGCTTCTGGATGCTCCGATGCTCTCAATGGGATCTGAGAGGTAGTGGGTTTGTAGCCTTCTCTTACAATACCCAGGTACACACCCACACAGACCATTTCCTTCTTTTGATTTATTGTAGGAATAAGTCAAATTGAATGTGCATGCAAATTAAGCCTTAGCACCTGAAGTAATTTGTGCTGGTAGCTAAGGAAAACAGACAATAGGCAAATCAGGACTTAGAATAGAAAACTACGGCCAACCCTATGAGCGTTATCCTTTTTCTGTCTCCTGATAATCATTGGGAATTATATTTCTCTTACAGTAGATGTCCTAATTTTCTTCATCTTCAAATGGAGTGCTTTTGCAACACCATGCTCTGTCCATGTAGATAAAGGCTAAACCCATGACACTTTGCTCTTCCACCTCTAAACCATCCTACTACTTTCAAGAATTCAGCTCTCCTCTGTGTCCCATTTCTACTCAGAGTTTCATCTTTGTAAAATAAAGGACTCTCCTGAGATTTCTAAGGGCTCACCTAGCTCTGTTTTGTCTCTGATTTTCAAGTCTCTATCCCAACCATTTTCAAGTGGCATGCTGGGGTCAGTTCCCGTGGGTCCCCACTGGCAGCTCTTCCCAACTCTGCATTCACTGACGTCAGATTGGTAGCCTGAAATCAGACATAGCAGGAGCATTTACACCACAGAAATTGGCAAATACAATAAGTCAGAGGCTTTTATTCCGGAGAGATAATTGTTAAACATTTATCAGTTCACCACTATATCTCTCTCAAGCTCAATTCTAACTTTCAGCCTGACAGAGATGGCTGCTTCAATTTTCCATGGCCATCTCAAACTCTACCTGCAAAAACTAAAACTTGAGTCTTAGATTTGTCCCCTTCATCTTCTCTATCTCTGTCTCTTTTGAGAAAGGAACTACATATTTTTCAATCAGCTATGCATAAAATCTTGGTATCATCTTTGTTTTCTCTCTCTCCACCCACTGAGGATACGCAGAGTCTTAATGGCTGTCCCTTTGATTTCTCTTAAAACCACTATTTTTCTTCATTTCCCTTTCCAACCTTCATCATGTCACACCTGAATTTACTCAAGAGACTCTCAACTTGCTTTTTTTACTTCTGTCTCTCCCAATCTTATAAATGGCAACAAAAAATAACTTTTTTTAGGAAAGAAATTTCTTAAATCCTATCTTCACCCCAATAAAAAACATTCATGGCTCCAACTCTCTGATTGTATTTCATGTCTAACACCCTCTGCCTGGTTTATAAAACTCCTGTCAATCTGGCACTCTGTCAGCCATCTCACACTTTTTCTCTACTTTGTCCCTTCCCTCTGTTACAGTGACTCTTCCTGTCATCTCACAGAAGCTTCGTCTCCCAAGTTCTTCTCTCAAGGACTCAGGATACCACTGCCTGCAGCTGTAGGAGAGACAGAAAGGTTGTAGCAGCTGCTGATGCAGCAGCAGATTAACCTCCCAGGCTTAACCTTACATTGGACCGCTCTGAGCCGGCTCATGTCCAGCTCCCATGGCTTCCCTCTTTCTCCATCCAGCTCAGCTCCACAACTTGGCATTGCCTACTTGTTTTGACACTTTTGGGAATGCTAACCTGATTCTGAACAGTTGTCAGTTAGTCTATCGGCCCTGTGGAGAAGAGAACACTAGAGGGTGCTAGTCATAGGCCCTATGTATGCTCTGTTCGTATTCTCATAACCCCACAGGCTGAAAGTCCTCGGCCCTAAACCATTGCGTGGAGAGAACAGACATGCTTTTTCACTCCTATTGTGCTTTCTCTTTCCTCTACTTATTCATCTATTTGAATAAAGGTTAATGAGCATATACTGTGTGAGGCACCAGGATGGGCAATATAGATGCAAATCTGGAAACATATGATCCCAGCATTCTGAGACAGGGGCTGGCAAATTATGACCCAGGGGCAAATCCAGCTCACTGTGTATTTTTGTGCAGCCTGTGAAGGAAGAATTGTTTTTATGTATTTAAATAGTTAGAAAAAATCAGAAGAAGAATATATGAAACTCGATTTTCAGTGTTGATAAAGTTTTATGAGAACACAGACATGCCCATTTGTTACTGGGTACTGTGTAGATTCAATGTGAGAGAAATTAGATGCTAGCCTGCAATGGGAAAAATAGTATAATTTTGTGGCCGTTTTTATTCAACCACACACTCTTTCCCAGAAATTCCCCAAGAATCGCCTAAGGTACTGTCTACAGCTGATTTTCTGCCACAGCAGCAGAGCTGAGGAGTTGTGGCAGAGATTTTATGGCCCACAAAGCCTAAAATATTTACTATCTTGCCCTTTACAGAAAAAGTTTGCTGACCCCTTTTCCAAGATTTCAACATTTAGTGAGTGTAATAGACATGCAAACAGTCAATTACAATATATTTAGTTGACTAATTTGGTGGCAGCAGACACAAGAGACAACAGCAGGAGAGGATAAAGCTCCTACTAGAAAATGTATCTGAAGTGCAATGTTTGGGTTCTATGGAAGGTGAAGAGATGTTCAACATTTGGATCACATGGGGAAGGCACTAGAACGTCGTGCCAAAGTTCTGAGGACAGGAGAGAAAAAGGCATGATTTGGGGAAGGAGAGAAAGTGTCTGCATATCTGGAGAGTAGACCACATAAAATAGAAAGATAAGAGATAAGACAACTGAGATGCAGAGTCTTGAAAGTTCCTGAGTGCTCTTCTGGACAGTGTATTTCAGGCCCATAGACCTAAGTCGCTGAAAGGCAAGGGGTGAAACGAACAGGTTTACCATTTAGAAGGATCACTTAGTCACTTCCTGATTTAAAACTTCTCAATTCAGGATGTAAATTCAATTTCTTTCTCTCCCAAAAGACTATTTTGGCCTATTCAAATCTTATCCATCCTTCAAGACAGCTTGAAATCTTACATTTTCCATGAGGACATCATGACTTCAAAAAGCCTTTCCTAATTTCGTATATTACAATGCCTTGGGATCTGTTCCACATGCTTTTGCTTCTTTTTATTGCTATTTTTCAGAACTATAGAACGGTAATATTGTTCCCTCTCTCTGTTCTTGTTACCTTTCCTCTCCATTCATTCAGCCATGAAAATGCAAAGTGGGCACAACATAGAAGAGAGAAGTTGATTAAAGCGCTGAATGAATTTGTGGAAATCTATAGGTAAGTTAATTCACCTGAAAGAGACAGATAGGCCATTTGGCCAAAGCAAGACAAACCTTCAGCTGTTAACAGCTGCACAGATGTAATGTGTTGGTCAGAAGGTCAGTTCCAGAAACACACATGCAAAATTTAAGTTCTAAAGCAAATGTGAGCAATGCCCATCAAAGCACCGTCCAAGGAAAAGAGCTTCATACCAAGAGACATTGGGTAATTTGGGGCCACTGACAAGCAATTTTTGTGCTGGGAAAGAATGTGTGGTTGAACAAAAATGGTCACAAATTATTTACTCCTTTTCCCATCGCAGGCTGGCGTCTAATTTCTCTCCCCTTAAATCTAGGCTGGCCCTAGTAAATGCAGCAGAGTAAATATTCTGGAAATTGAGTGCAGGGCTTGGGAGGACTCTATCTGAGAACCCTAAGCTGCCATGTAAGAAGTCTGAGTATCCTGAGACCAGGTAGGGGAGCCTACATTGAAGGTTTCTGGTTGATAGTCCCACTGAGACAAGCCTTGCAGCCATACTCATCAAGGCGCTAGATGTGTGAGAGAAATCATCTTGGACCCTCCAGACCAGATATCTGCAAGCGAAATACCACTGGTTGACCTCCAACACCACCACTTGGAACAGAAGAATCACCCATCCAGCCCTGCCCACATTCTTGACCCGTAAAATCATGAGATAATATAAAGTGATTGTTGTTTTAAACTATTAAGCTTTGGGGTCATTTGTTAGACAGCAATATATAACTAGAACAGAATGTCTCAAACTAGTTTATCTGAAGAACAGATAAGCTATTAAGAAAAATTTAGTTTTATTAAGAAAAACTCAGTTTCCCTAGACTTTTTAATCTATGGGGAGGATGAACTGATGATATGAAGTATTAACGTCCATCTAATGGTTATACTTCTCAGTACAAATTAATAAACTTCATCTAGATTTATTTAGACTCTTGTAAGTTGAGACCATGTAAATTCTTCCTTGAGATAAGAGATGCTTTGCACTGACAAAAGCAAATTTCTGTGCCATATAAATTCACTCAGGTTAAAATTCTACCTTGTAAGAGTCTGGGACAATCAATTGACTCTTGATGGTGATACCCTAAATTCACTTTTGCCTTTCAAACTTCAACAGAGATTAAAAGTATTTTCTGTTTGACTTTTTTTTTGCTACCATAAGAGTTTTTCACTGTGCAGGGTCCCTTATGCACATCCTGTCATTTACATCTTACAACACTCCATTTCGCAAATGAGAGAACTAATGCTGAGTGGCCTTAAGGCACTTGTCCAAGTTCACATAGCTACCGAAGAGCGATAACCAGCCTTTGAACCAAAGTCTGTCTTACTCCAGTGCCCATGTGCTTAAAATTGCCCACAGGACATCCAATGGCTAAAGGATACTATCTTTGTGGCTGACATAGTTCAAGGCACAAAATAGGCACTCAATAAACATTGATTATTTGAATAACTGGTTCGTAAAATGTACTAACTTTGACTACAGTTGTCTCTCCCCTCTTCATTGTGTGCTGCTGGAGAGAATGTTACAAATGAAATAAAGCGCAAACTTGATCACTTACCAGCCAATGAGAACATTTATCTTGAACTTTTCCTCAGAACCTGGACTTTGTCCTGAAAGCACCAAAGAGCAGGAAAAATGAGGGTAGTAGGTGCATGCCCTGGAGCTTTATTCCCTCCAAAACTCTTTGCTGGCTGCCACATGGGCACATACTGAGACTACCTTAAATCTACACATATGCTTTTCAGGAGCAAGCATGACACTTAGATTTAGCACATTTTCACCCAGGAGCTCTGCAAAGTTATTGGTGGACGGTTTTAACATAGTTCCCCACTCCTTATTTGTTCAACAGGTATTCAGTCCATATATACTTTGTGACAAACACTGTGAACAGCTGCTCTTGAAGATGTCAGAGTCTAGTTTGTGAAATAGACACACAGATAATTTAAATACCATGTGATAAGCACCACAGTGGCTGTATGCACAAAGTATTATGGAAGCTCAGAGGAAGAGTAATCCAACTCTGGCTGGGAGAGATGGGAGTCTGTTTAGTGAGGACTTCATAGCAGTGACATTTAAGTTTATGCATGTGCAAATGATTATCTACTAGGTGGAGAAGAGGATGTGCCGTTTCAAGGCATGATCAAAGGTAGGGTTTTAGAAAACAGCATGTTTCAAAACTGGCAAGTAGTTCTGTGTGACTAGAGGTTGTGTGGCTTGAAAGGTATGATGAGACAGGGCAAGATTAGTAATACCTACCAGTTATTAACACCTGCTTTGTGTTTGGAAGTGTGCTAAGACTTTTCCTGCATAACACTCAATTAGTTGATACCTTATGAAGTGAGTATTATTCCCACTTTATAGATGAGAAAACTGGGTCTTGATGACCTTGAGTAAATTCTTCTGATTCACTTAGCTAATAAATGGTTGCAGTGGTATTTGAATTCAGGCCTATTGACTACAAATCTCAAGCTTAAGGGTATATTGTCTCTTGAGGATATAGATCTTTCATCCACCCAGCAAATATTGGGATAAAATGGTCACATGTTTTTTAAAAAAGACCTGACTGCAAGGTAAGAGATGGATTATGGAGGTATGGGAGTGAAAGCCGTGGGAAGGAGATGAATGATGGGTTATAGAAAGAGCCTTATGGGAATAGTGAATTTACAAATCAGTAAAACAATTCTTAATTAACTGAGAAGCTGTTTTAACCTTCCCAGTATCCTAAATCACAGGTCATGTCAGAACAATAAGAACGTTTTCCTTGGTTCACTTTGGCCTTCCATTTCCAAAGCGTTATCAGATCAAAAGAAGAGGGTGGCAATTGATTTTAGATCACTTATTGAAGCCACTAGGCGTGCTCAATCCTCAAAACTCTAACACATCATCATCCCCCACTCCCTTAATTGCTGACCTTACTTCCTATTCCACAGAGAAAATATAAGCAATCAAAAGAGAAGTTTAACTCTTCTCACACCTACTCACCTATGTCCATCAGTGCCTATACGATCCGCCTCTCATGCTGCCTCTTCTGCTCATGCTTCCAGCTAAAGCTAACCCTTCTGCATGCACCCTAGATTCCCTCCCTTTATCCTTGCTCCAGTGATCACCCCCTACTACCCCTTCCATATCCTTTATCATCACTTTCTCCTTTCTCCTGGATCATCTCCATTGGCTTATCAAAGTGCTCTTATTTCTACCACATCAAAAAGAATTCTCTCTTCAACCCACATCCCTTTTCAGCTACCTGGACATTTATCTGCTTCTCTTTAAACAAAAAAACACCTTAGAAGACTTGTCTGTACTTACTCTCTTCAATTTCTCACCTGTCATTTTTTCTTGAATTCATTTAAATCAAACTTTTGCCAACACCACTCCACCAAAACTGCTCTTATCAACATCACCTGTGACTTTCTCGTTGCTAAATCCAATGATCTGTTCTCCATTCTCACTGTACTTGTCCCAGTAACAGCTTTTGACACAATCACTTTCTCTTCCTGGAGATACTTTCTTCACTTTACCTCCAGGATACATCACTACCTTGCCTTTCCTCTCATCTCATTGGCCAATCCTGTTTCCTTGCTGGTTCCTCCACATCTCTTTGACCTCTTAATGTAGGGTGCACCAGCACTCAGTCCTGGAACCTCTTTTCTTCTCTGTCTACACCCATGCCCTGACTGATGTATTGTGGCTTTAAATATCAACCATATGTTTATGAATGTCAAATTTGCATCTCCATTATGGATCTGTTCTTTACATTTTAGACCTATAAACCCAACTTTTTACTTGACTTCTAACTTACATGTCTGACACCTCCCAAACATAATATGTACAAGACAAAACTCCTAAATTCCCTCCAAATTGGCTTCCCTTACAGTTTTTCCCATTCTAGTAAATGATGACTCCACCCTTCCAGTTACTCAAGACATAAGCCTTGGCATCTGTCACTGTCTCCTTTCACATGCTCACATCCCACATCCAGCAAGCCAATAAGCCAATCCTATCAGGTCTGTCTTCAAAATATATTGAGAGTCTGACTACTTATCACCACCTGTATTAATACGCTTTGGTCAACCCCACCATTAGCTCTGCTCTAAAGTATTGCTAAAACCTCTGAAGTATTGTCCTTGTTCTATGCCTTGTGTCCTACATACAGTCTACTCTCAACACAGCATCCAGAATAACCCTTTAAAAATCTAAGTCAGATCTGTCTTTCCTGTTTTCAACACTTTCAGAGGCTTCTCCTCTCAAGGACCGGAACTATGTCTTTTGGTTATTCTGACATAAAGAAGACTGGGTAGATGAGTATTTTTAGTTTTCATCTTCCAAGACACAGGAAAGCAAGGAAGGAGAGGGGTCTGAAGAGTTTTCAGTAGCCTATTCATGTAGTGTCACAATGTGAAAAATCCTTACTAAAATGATAAAATACTTCTGAATGACATAAAAGATCCAAAAAAAGACGTGGAGATGTAAACCACGTTCATGGATGGTAGGACTCAATATCTACATGTATGTAATTATCCTACAGAAATTTTCAATATCTCTATGAGAAGACATGTCCAAGAATGTTCACAGAAGCACTGACTACAGCAGCAAAAAATCTAGGAAAAACTCAAATGATCAACAGAAGAGGCAGATTATGATTTAGTCATACTAAATGGAATTGAGTCTTAAATACATACATGGATAACTTTCAAAACATAATATATTGAAGTTGCAGAATGATGTCATTTTTGTAAAGTTTAAATAATACATAGTTACATATATATGAATGATAAACACAAAAGTCAAGATAGTGGCTACTCTTGAGAAGGATGGGGAATAGGATTGAGGATGAGAATCTGAGAGATTTTATCTGTACTGAAATGTTCCATTTCTTTTAAAAAACTTATGAGGTAAATGTGGCAAAACTATGCAATTCAACAATTGTTAAAACTAGTGATTAGGTTCACAGATGCACCTTAATTATTTCTTATTTTTTCTATATGTTTGAAATATTTTATAAGTAAAAAAAGTGATTTAGCCCTTCACTGGAAGATGTTCACAGCCTACAGTTTGGAGGTGGGGTGTGACATGCCTGCAACTAATTTGTATTTGGAATTTTTTTGATGACCGGAACAGAAAGTCCCTCAATACAGCTTCAAAAAAGGGACATTTATTATAAAGTCACACAAAGGACACACACTGAAATCAAAGGACAGAAACCAAAGTACAGCCAGGACTCCTGGGGACTGGAAAGTGGCCAGGAACCTGGGCTACCTTTCACAGAGGCTGCAAGGTTGTACTTGCTCTCTCTCTCCCTGATTTTCTCTTGGCATCTGTTTCACTCTCTGCTCTCTACTTCTTCTTAACTCCTCCAATTCACCTGTACGATGTGAGATAAAGTTGCCTTTCTATCGCTGGCAACTTCCATTTGTAATTCTGTTCAGATTTAAAAACAGTATGTAATTCATATACATCACTATTTTGAACCAGGCCACACAGGCCTTTTGTCCATGCCAAGTCCATGTATAGGCCACTTGCTGGGTCTAATAGCTTATTCAATCTTAGTGGCCATCCCAATGCAAATAGCAGCCCAGGGCTGTTTCTCTGAGCAGGGGCAGTGGGAAGTACCACTTAATACATTACCACTACTACTACTAATTAACACTTATTTAATGCTTACTGTGTTCCAAAGACTATACCAAGCACTTTGCAAACATTGTCCCATTTGCTTCACACAGAAACCTATGAGATAATACTATTGTCCCTGTTTTACAGATGAGGAAAGTGAGGCATTAGATCATTTAATTTCACAGAAACTTCATAAGGTAGGTACCATTATCATCCTCATTTGACAAAGCTGAAAACTCAGGCTAAGTAACTTACCCAAAGTCAAACAGTAAATGGTAAAACCAGGGTTCGCAGGCAATCTGAGCACACCTGGCAAATTGCCTGTCATTTCTTGCTCTTCACTTCAGCCAAAGTAGGCTGAGATGGTTGTCATCAAAGGGATGCAGAATGCAGGAGGGAGGAAAGAAGTCATTCAAACAGGGTGCTGAAGGATGAATAGGACTTCTTTCAACAAGGGAGGACAGTGACACAAAGGTAGGAGAAGTGCAAAGTGAGTTCAGAAACCTTGATTGGACCCTGGGCTTGAGATGACATAAATGGAAGGAAATAGAGAAAACACACCAGCACCGCCCTTCACTTAACAACATGTGGGTTGAATTGGCCTCCTAACAGCAACCTTATGACAAGCTATCTAATGTACCAGCTGCCTAGCCCTTCTAAAGTTACTGAATGAGAAAATGCAAGGGGTAGGCACTTTTATTGTTAAGGGTTTGGAAGAAACAACAGGTGCATAAAGATAAACATACAAAGAGGAGTACCACGGTGTATTCTATAGTAGCAAACATGGTGAATATTATTAACGGTTACAGCTAATACTTACTAGATGTTTACTATGTACCTGGTACCAGCTAAGCCCTTTATATGCATTGGCATATTTATACGCATTAGATCATTTAATTTCACAGCAACTTCATCAGGTAGGTATCATTATCATTCTCATTTGACAAAACTGAAAACTGAAGCTTAGATTGACTTGTTCAAAGTCCAAAGACTCATCTCATGTCTCTCTGACTCCAAAGCCAATTCTCTTAGTAACTGCATTGTAATATATGAATGTGCAGTCCCGAAGGTCTGTCTAAATTGTTTATGAAACACCCAGACCGTGGACTCTCATGCAGGCCTGAAATGATATTGTAGTTCTCTATTTCATGATCTGGAAATTCATGATACATTGTTAGGTGAGAATAATAAGTTGTAGCATAGTATGCATGGATTAAATATATGTACATATGTATTTATTTAAAATATGCACAAATATGTTAGAAATACATATTAGACACATATATATTATATGTAGAAAAACCTGGAAGCATATACATCAAAATGTTAATGACTATTATCTTTTAATATTAAGATCTGGGATATATATATATATGTAGAGACAGAGAGAGTGCTTTTCTCTATTTTATAGTTTTTTTTACACTGAGCACGGATTATTTACACAAATTTTACGTGGTCCTGTTGTCTTGGGAAGTGTACATCCCAAGCTGTTGTAACGAAGAGACTCCAAAATGCAGTAACTCTCTCACTTGACTTTGCCATCCTCCTCCAAGGTTGCCTCCAGCGTCACCGTTTCCCAGACAGCTGGAGAAGAAAAGAGGGATCCAGGACAAGCAGCTCGTCTTTAAGGAGATGACCCAGAAGTTACCCAGCCTCTTGCATCCGTGCCTCAGTATCCTAACACCACGAAGAGTAGCAGGGAAACGTGCTTTCTATTGGATGGCCACATAACGGGTTAAAATGTTCTTATTATTATTAAAAAGAAGAAAATGCTAACGAGCATTAGGAGACACCTGTACACAGTTGGCCACTTAGGAAACATGATTTTCAGGAATTCCAAAAGAGAATTCTGTCCTACTCCTCCCCGAAATGTCCACCCTCCAAACGATGTTAGAAGCTTGCCACTCCCGTACCCTTTTCCAGGGCTGCTGCACAGGTTTGCCCTGCATAACTGGAGGGGACCTCATTCCCCATTACCATGAGGTGAATGACATTCCAGACCAGGCCTTGAAGTGGTCCAGCTTCCTTTCTCTTTCAGCCCGCACTCCTATTGAAATGAGCAAGTCTTAGCAATTTACATCGCATTGTGAGGGTTTCTGATCCATCTTTGGGAGAGTAGGTTTTTATTGGCTGACCTTTTAAAAAGGATGCCTCCCATCACCACGCTGGAGCCACGCTGCCCGCCCGCCTCATTTCTCACTGTTGTCTGCACCGCACCCTCTGGTGAGCCACATCCTCCAGCTCTGGGCTTCTCAACCACGTGTCCCAAATTTCTAGGGAGTCTCTGGTCCAGAGTTGTTGCTACCAATAACTAAAGTATTGGATACACACACATGCTATTGAATCCTTTCACTTTCTTTTGTCTTTCTAACTTGATGTCATGATATGACTTCTCTGATTATCTTCTCTAATGATAAAAATTTAAAATGGAATGTTATTTAGAATTCATAAATTCAAATATGTTTTTAATTTTTATTTAAATAGTAACCCCTATGCAGAGCAGGAAAAAGAAATCCAAGCAGGTCAAGAGGACACAAGCTTCTCCTGACTTCTGTCCCTAAGGATTTCTGTCTCCTGACTTCTGTCCCTGAGTTTCTCCCCATTAGGCAACTCCTTTGCCAGTTTCTTCTATATCCTTCTAGACAACAAAGAAGCTACTGTAGTTGGTTGTCACACCCCAGCCACTGCAGCTTTTATTTATGCCACAGTTGGAGGTGGGGTGCGCACAGCATCAGAATCTGTCAGGGAGTGGTACAGATGTGCTTCCTGAACTCACACCCTCCTCTCGCTCCTGCTGTCCTGTCCTTTCCCTGCTTCTCCACACCATGAGTTCCTTCATGAACATCTGGTCAAATGTGCCCAGCTCCGTGATGACCTCTCTCCCCACCTCGTCGTGCTGGCTGCTCGTCTCTCCAGGAAGAACCCATCCTCCCCTTTGAACGCACCCTTAGCACTTAGCACGTACCAGCACTCTAGCATTTTTCCAACAGAGTCATAATTGTTGGAATGCCCTCCCTCCTCTGTCCTTGCTCCCTGTAAGTTCCTTGACGGCAGAAACCCTTCATTACAAATCTCTGTGACTTTGCATAGAAGAGTGCTTATCACATAGTAGGGGCTCGGTAAATTTTTGATAAATAAAAGAAGAAGACAAGAGACAGGCCCTTCCCACTGGTGAGTGGAATCTAATTGAGATGTGATTGAATCCCAGGAGCAAACCCTGGCTGGGCTCCTTCTCAAGAAACTGAATTTCTCACTGCAGCTCTCCAGAGGGGCCTGCTTATCGGGGCTCAGTGTGTGGTCTAGAATCATGTGCACCGACATATTGCAACGTGGTGTTGTAACGATGCCTTAGGTAGGAGGCAGCGCTGTCACATATGAAATGGCTAGAGAAAGATACAGATCTTCCTCTTCCCATTATGAAAGTTATCAGATATTTTGGAGGAAGATACAAATACCAGATCCCTTTCAGACACACAGACATGGGCAGAGACACATACGCACACGGAAATGCTGTGTCTTCGCTAAATATAACCCTTTGTAGCGACAGTATCTCAATAATTTTCAAGTGAAAAGATAAGGAAGGGGAGCCAAGTCTTTCATAATGAATGCAAGCCTATAGCTTTTAAACAGGGCTAACATATGGGCCACTGATGTGAATGTGAATGCAAATTAGATATTTTTGATTGCTTGAAATAAAGTCAGCAGAATCAAAGCCTCACACAGCAAATGGCGCAGCTTTAACTACGTCGGTGCCAGGATGGAAACAAGGGCTCTTAACACATCACCAGGAAAAAAAGGGTTTCAGGCTGTTATTTTGGATTGAGACCTTTCTAGGTAGGGCAAAGATAGGGCTTGCCCTTCTCTTTACTGCCGTTCTGGTTCTTCTTTTATAGGAGAGTCTTTCATTTGTATTGTGCAGAAACAGATTAAAATCTACTTTGACCTCTGACCTTTCGAATTTATTATGTTGCCAAAAATCTCCAGGTAGTAGGGAGCCTTTCAAGGTTATGTTATCCAGTCGCCAGCCTTCAGGCAGGTCAAGTCATACTCACTTTGCTAGACACTGTCCTAGGTGCTGGAGATCCAGAAGGGACTAAAACAGTCACTTTGCTCAAGGAGACTGCTGGTTTTTGGAGACATGAGACCAAAAATCTCACTCTGGTGTTGTGTGATTCTTGTGACAGTGGAGGTGAGCCTAGAATGTCATAGGAGCACAGGTGTGGGACATCTCTCCTGGGAAATTGTGTGTGTGTGTGTGTGTGTGTGTGTGCAGGATTCATGGAAGTCTTCATGGAGGAGTGACCCATAAGCCAAGCCTTGAAGGATAAAGAGTAATAAGCCAGTCAGAGGAAAAGGGTCCAGCCTATATAGAGGCACAGAGGTGAGAGAAGGCTCATGCAGTGATGTGCACAGTTTGTGAGGGAGGGCATGAGAGGGTGGTGGCCAGACAGACTGTGTAAGCAGCATAGTCAGCCACCTGATGTGCTACCAAGAGCTGTGGGTATGGAAACACTAGTAAGTAAGATAAAACCTTTAATAATGTGAGGATTTTGCTGCCTCAAAAGAATGAAATGCCTGCTAACTAGCCTGCACCATGCAGAAGGTCCCTGCCCAGATTCAGGCAGATAAAAGGTGAGAAGCAGAGCTAATCAAGTGGCCCCTGGACCTTCTTGTCCTTTATTCCCAGGCTCAAATTGCAGCCTCCATAGCTCACATTTGTGGGGACTTCTACTGTCAAATCAGCCCAGTACTGCTGTCCCCTTCTAGTAAATGCAAGATTCTCCCCACCACTTCCCTACCTTCTAGCCTAGGGTTTCTCAACCTCAGAACTATTGACATTTTAGGCTAGATATATCTTTCTCTACTACTGTTCTCTACTTTGTAGGATTTTTATCAGCATCATTGACCTCAATACAATCGATACCAGTAGCACTCTCCCCCCACCCCCCCACACACATACCAGTTGTGACAATTAAAAATGTCTGCAGACATTGCCAAATGTCCTCTTGGGATGGGGGCTAAATCATCCCAGCTGAGAACCCCTGCTCTAACCCAAACACACAGATACACTTCTTCCAGTAAGTGCTCATTTCTCTGCTCCAGTGTTATGGTGTGACCTTGATGGGGGCTTCTGGGTCTCATGTAACTCCTCCCCCTTCCACTGCTTCTTGGCCAAAATGTTACTGAGGCTGGAAGCCCGATTTGAGCTGCTGCAATCCGAGCATTTTTGGACGAGGGAGGCTCTCACTTTCTTCCAGGTGCAAATCTAGACATCCTGAGCCTGGGAGGTTTTGGTGGCCATGCAACCAGCCATAGCCATAGCTTCTCTAAGGGAGTCAAATTACGAGGCAGAGATAACATGGAAAAAATCTGGCGGCAGTTGAGCATCTGGTGCTATCTGCCCTAAGACGTATGGTTTGCCTCATGACCATTACACTCTTCTTTATACTGAGTTCATATAAGTTAAGTTCAAGTCACTTATGACCAAACAGACCTAATGAATGCACCATCCTGTGGTGAAAAGTCAAATTAAAGGAAAGGCAGACAAGTCAACAAGGTGAAGTGAGAGTGAGATTGTGTTTATGTTGATGTCTAGAGCATGGTTATTCTCGGCTGCCTATCCTAGGCTGGCTTAGGGCAGTGCTGCTTGCTGAGGTCTCTTCTTACCTCCTGAGAAGAGCAAAGAGATGGTAGTGAGACAAATGACCAAGATTCAATTCTTGTGTGAGATCAAACCTTTCTCTCTTTTTCTTATGCCAGTGAAAATTCCTATCCCTAGAACTGTGACCTAATAAAATGCCCCAGCTTTTAGTTCTGCATCATTCTTCTAGTGATGGGGTCAGAAGGGGCAGAAGGGAGCCAAGAGGAGCCTTGAACCTCTATAGAAGATAACATTTCTCCACTTCTTATTCTTTCCGCACTCTCAATGACCTTATTGCTCAGGCCTACGGCCAAATAGAGATGCAACTTTCCTCTCAAAAAGTGGAAATCTACGGAGCATCCTTAGGAAATCTGCTCCGCTTCTTCTAAATCCTCACCTTTATTCCCTGTCTCCTTTGGGTCTATGGGGTAAATGGCTGCACTCCTAAAGACTCGATCAATGTTTCTTAAATGATGCTTCCAGCATTGAGATAGATTTGTCCTGGATATTAATAAAATGTATGCTAAATCAGAGAATTTACAATTAATCAGATCTGAAAAGTCACTTGCATTTTGTTTCCAATTTTGAATTATAATCAGTCATAATTTTCAACCAAATTCAGCAGAAAGTATATTGTACATCAAAGAGCAATATGGTCCAAAAATGCAACACCAGCATTATTGAACCTCACCCTGTCCATCCATGGCACAGCCTCTAATTCTAGTGGAAAATAAAAACACAGAGGAGAATAATAATGCAAAGCTGTGTCCTTTGTCATTTGCCCTGTCCCCAAACATCTCCTGTGCTGTATTTAAATTCCCTTACCTTGGATAACCCTACTAATCTAATTGCAAAAGAAACATCCATTTCTAATGTTACTTGACTCTCTATCTGTAAAGGAGCACATCACCCTCTTGACAATGGCTGAGAGGTAGGAGAAAGGAAAAACAGCCTACAGTAGCTAGCACCATGCCACCCACCTGGGTCTGACTCTTTCAATACCAAAAGGTGCAAAGCTGTAGGTCAGAGCTCTGCTGGTTAGGAGGAGCTGTATTTGTGTTTTAAGAGTAACTGGGATTTGTTTCAATCATGTGTCGCAAGACATGCCGCCACAGAAATGATTGTGATGAAGCTAAGAGGTTTGTCGGTTCCCTGGAAACAGGAAGCTTGGCGTACCATGCGAGGCAACACGGAGAAGCATCAGGTTCATACAGAAGGCAGAGAGAGCAGGTGGGATGTGTGGAAATGTGAACAAGAGCCTTTCTTGTGGTTTCTGTGGGAAAGAAGAGGCAATGCAGGGTAAACAGGTTTAGGATTGGTTAGTTTGAATAATTTCAGCTGGCTCTGGGCATAGGGGCTGCACCTAGTGGTCTGGTACTGACTCTGTGATTAGGGCAGGGGAATAGTAGCTTAGAATGTGCAGGAACCTAATAAAGACTCTGATTGGGGTATTGTTTGGTTTGTACATGAAAGGCACGCTCCCGGCGGAATTGTTTACTGTCTCCAGGAATTGGCTAGGCCGGGTGCTACAGTCCATCCCGGGTCAACAAGGTCCCAGATGTCAAAGCATCAGAACACAGAAAATAAAAAGACATGGTTGATACAGTTTGCCACTGGGGATGTAAACATGGAAGTAGTGGTTCTCAGATCTTCTTGTACGTTGGTTTTATGCTACAGAATCCTTTATTCAAAAAAAAAAAAAAAAAAAACAACCTCACTTAGATGACCAATATATAAAGTAGTTAATTGAGAGCTGCTCTGGTTGAAACAAGGATTTTTGGCCCAGAGACTTGAATACACAGCCTCTCTGTCCCTTTTCCTGGGTAGTTCTTTAGGGAATCCTAGAGATCCATGGATAATGTCAGGGAAACAGGGCACTGGAGGCCTCTCCTAACGCCAGCTGTACCTGCCACAATGTGGTAGTGGCTGCCCACATGCTAGTCCCCTGTGCATATATACTGCTTGGGTCTGTTGGAGATTCACCAAAGGTTCCAGGAATCCAGCACCCAGGTTTATTCTGCCAGAGCACTGCTCCCATGTACACCATCCGAACCAAGGACAAGGCCAGGAAAGGGAACACCTTAAGGCAAGCTGGCATTTGTATTGGTTACTATATTGTAGAGTGACTTGTTTGGGATCCAAATCACAGTCTACTCCTCTGAGGAGTTAGACTGGACCATGCAGAAGATCTTGGCCTAGAATAAAGAGACTTGAGTAACCTCCTTTGCTCCTTCCTCCTAAGCCCTAGAATCTCAAGTCCTCAGTGTCTTCTTGCTCCGAGGGCTAGGAAAGGCCAGTCTGAAGATGAGCCATGGAGCCATAAGAGCAAGACTTTGTCTCAATGTCTAGGCCAGAGTGGTCACAATGACCTGCGCCAGACCTTCCCTCTCAGGCTTGTCTTAGTTCACTAACTGCAAGTAAGTAAAACAAAGAAGAGAGTAAATCAACATTTCACTATCACTGGTGTCATCATTATCATCATCATCATCATCACTGACATTGTTAATTTTATTGTAATTATCATTTTTTTCGTAATATCCCTGTCTTGCTTCAAGGAATTATTATTAATGCAAGTTTAGTGTGCTTCATTGCTCTGAAATGGCAGGGAGAAGCTGTGGTTCTCCGTCTCGTTAACCTAAATTTTCTAAGTCCATGTTCTCTCCAGTGACTGTGACAATGGGATGACACTGTTGCTGTTATTCGTCTGTTGACTGTTGCATCACTTATTTGTAGGTATGCTGACAGCTTGGTCTGAATGGTCAGTCTCTCCACTCAAGATCACTCCATGACCTCTGGCTAACCTCATCTCATCCTGCTCCTTTTGCTCAGAAAAGACCACTTGTAGTCCTTGATGGTACCTCTGTGCACTGTTCCTTCCCATGTTCTTTTTTTGTGGGGAAGCATCCATCAGGAGGAAGAATGACCTTCCTATTGGGAATCTGACCTAGAAAATGAGCCCCTGTTGTTTTGCACCAGGGAAACTTTCAAGTCACATCTCCCTGGAAACATTGGCACTTGACAACCCACTTCATCATTTATTGCTCAGTATCAAGTAATGGAATTTTTTGGTTTATTTCTTCTTGATTTTGAATTCAGGGCTGTATTCTAGAGAGTTGAAAGAAGTTGCCGGAAGTCTGACCTCTGAAAAAGTGGAATGATATCCTACTTTTCTAGAAGGCTGCACTTTGAATCATGAAACAGCCTGAGCACATTGGAAAAGTGCCTAAGTTGAGAGCTGATGATAGACTAAGTGGAATTAATGTCACATTGGCCCCAGCAGAAATCTGATCTGGGAGGTTCAGAGTGATGCGTTAGAAAGGGTACTTGATTAATACTTAGAAAACTGTTTCTGTAATACAGGTGTTTTATTTATTGGCTGCATGAATTTAGACTCCTCTTTTCCTTTTATTCATATTGATATGAATGATGAATGTTCAAGTGAGATTAGTTACATAAAAAATTTTGAAATTTATAGAGTATGATCCATATATAGGTTGTTATTGTATGTAGTTACCTAAAATGAAAGCAGCATACATACTGTTCTCAACTTACTTTCTTGGCTCCCTAGGCAATACAGAAAATTAGAAGTTGACTTTAACTCCTATGGACAGGTAGGCGAAGTAGAAAACAGCTCATGTGGAGACGGAAAAGAACCGTCCTTGAGCAGATGAATAACGATAGAGGGAAGCAGTTGGCAGTGAGTTGTGTTATGTTCCCAGGCCTTACTGATTCTGGCACAGACAGCTCGCACCTTTCCAAAAATTTAGGGGCAAACACTTAAATATATAACAAAAAGAGCAAAGGCATTTGAGAAATGTGATAGTATAACTTCAAGGTTAATTTAGCAAATATTTTTTAAAAAATCTTTGGAGGGTCTGTTCACTTATGATCAGCATACTAAGGTTTTGAAATGCCCTCAGAAATGTCTAAAACCCAGCCCAGAAACTGTTCAAGGATGTGAAGTAGAAATTCTCAGATGCTCTGTTCCTTTTTTTTTTTGTCATGTTGAATTACTAAGTGATAGAACCCCAAGTGGCATAAGAGATAAATTAGTCCAATCATCTCATGAGCAACATGGTAAACTTGATTTTCAAGATGGTAACTGACCTCTCCAAGGTCACACTGTAAATATGCACTTTCCTATATGGTAGACATTAGTCACACACAGCTATTGAGCACTTAAAATGTGACTAGAGAAACTGAAAAACTGAACCTTAATATTATTTCATTTTAATTAATAATAATTAATATTTAACTAATTTTAATTTAAAAGTTGATATTTGGTTCAGTTATAGAAAAAATTAAGTATGTCTGGCACAACTTGGCTATGTTAATCTACTTTTGATGAAATTTAAACACGTAACAATTACTTCTGAGGGAAATTTAGCATTTAAATCAAGATGTGCTGTTTAAGTGTAAAATACACATCAGATTTCAAAGACTTAGTATGAAAAAATGCAAATATTTCATCAATAATTTTTATATTGATTTTATGTTGAAATAACATTTTGGAAATAATAAATTAAATTAAATCTATTAAAGTTAATTTTACCTGTTTCTTTGTTTTAATGTGGCTGCTAAAAATTTAATGACATATGTGGCTCACATTATATTTCTATTAGAGAGTGCTGCTCTAGAAGATAAAACAAACAAGACTGCAAATCTAGTTTTTTGATTCTTGGTTGCTTGATCTTTCGACTGAACTATGCTGCTTCTTTAGGACATTTTCTTCTCTCTTCCATTATCTTTGCAAAAGTTGGCATGTAGGTTTTCAACAAAAGGTAAAATAAGACTAAAAAAACCTATCTGGCTGAAGAGAGCATTCTGGGAAGTTGGTGGAGCAGGAAGTACCAGGAATTTGTCTTCCCACCTAGACAACAATTGCACTGGCAAAATCTGCCTGATATAACCCTTTTGGAGTTATGGAGTCTATTCAAGGTTTGCAACTTCCAGGAGAAGCCTTGGAAGGTAAATTGGAGTTAATTTCAGTCAACTTCAGCTCTTAGCACAGTAACAGCTACCCATCCCCCACCCTCACTCCCATGGCAGGCAGCTGGGCAAGTGCTCCTGAAGCAGCCTACACACAGCTTAGAGGAGCCAGGGTGGGCAAAAAGCACTCTATTCTTCGAATATCAGGGATCTGTGCTCTGGTTACTAACTGCTGCTGCTGATCCCAAAGGTGGAGGCAAAGAGGAGGTGGCCTGTGTTGTTGCAGCAACATGACTCTTCCCATTGTTGTGAGCCCCTCCCCTCTTGCTGAAGTGACTTTCAGGGGATTTAAAGGGCCAGTGCCTTCCCCCCGCCCCGCCGCTTCATTTTTCTCTTTTCCCATTTTGGAAGCCTGACATTAAAGACAAGGACGTTCAAAAGCAAATGCATATATGGAAAGTGAGCACACACATCCAGGGAAAGACTCAGGCTTAGAAAAGACCTGAGACGACCTCAAGTTTACACCTCAGGCTGATTCTTGATACTTGGTACAGAGATGGCCTACAACAATAAACAAATACAGTAACAAAAAAACAGAAAACTCTGGAAAAGGAGGAGAATCTCATTTCCAGAGTTACCACATTATTAGATTCAAATGTCCACTTTTCAACAAAAAATCACAAAGCATAGAAAGAAACAGGAAAGTATAGCCTATTCAAAGGATACAAAAATTAAATTAACAGAAACTGTCCCTGGAAAAGACCTGATGGCAGATCTGCTAGACAAAGACTTTAAAATAGCTGCCTTGAAGATGTTCAAAGAACTAAAGAGGATGTGGACAAAGTCAAGAAAATAATGAATGGACAAAATGGAAATATCAATAAAGAGATAGAAAACCTAAAAAGAAGCCAAAATGAAATTATAAAACTGAAAAGTACAATAACTGAAATGAAAAATTCACTAGAAGGATTCAAATAGAGATTTGAGGAGATAGAAGAAGGAATTGGTGAAGGTGAAAACAGAACAATGGAAATTGTCAAGTCTGAGAGACAGAAAAGAAAAAGATTGCAGAAAAGTGAACAAAGTCTAATGAACCTGTAGGACATTGTTAAGTACAAGTACATATGCATTGTTGGAGTATAAGGAGGAGAAGAGAGAGAGAAAAAAAAGAAGAGAGCATATTTGAAGAAATAATGGCTCAAAACTTCCCAAATTTGATGAAGTACATGAATATAAACATCCAAATAGTTCAATGAGGTATACATAAGATGAGCTCAAAAAGACTCACACTGAGACATAGTATAATCAAGTTTTCAAAAGACAAAGACAAAGAGAGAATCTTGAAAGCAGCAAGAGAGAAACAACTCATCACAAAGGCTCCTCAATAAGATTTTCAGCAGATTTCTTTACAGAAACTTTGGAAGTCCAAAGGCAATGGGCAGATATATTGAAAGCACTAAAAGTAAAAAACTTATCAACCAAGAATACTGTATACAGCAAAACTATCTTTCAAAGATGAGAGAGAAATGAAGATTTCTCAGATAGACAGAAGCTGAGGAAGTCCATTGACACTAGACTTGCCCTACAAGAAATGTTCAAGAGAGTCCTTCAGGGTGAAATGAAAGGACATTAGACAGTAACTCCAAGCTGTATGGAAAAAACAGAGATATTAATAAAGGCAAAAACATGGGCAATTATAGAAGCCAGTACTATTGTAAATGGTTTGTAACTTCAATTTTTTTCTACATGATTTAAGAGGCTAATACATTTAAAGTAATTATTAGTTTATGTTTTAGGGCACACAGTGATAAAGACATAATTTTGTAACATCACAAACTAAAAGAGATGAGGATGAGGCTGTAAAGGAGCAGCGGTTTTGTACGCTATTGAAATTAAAGCAAGCGTAAATTCAAATTAGTGTGCTATAACTTTAGGATGTCAAATGCAATCCCCACAGTAACCACAAAAAATAGCTATAGAATATACACAAAAGGAAATGAGAAAGAAATTTAAACATTTCACTACAAAAATTCAACTAAGTGCAAAAGAAGACAATGTGTAGGAAATGAAAGACAAAAAAGCAAAAAGGAGTACAGAAAACAAATAACAAAATGACAGAATTAAGTCTCTCCTTACCAGTAATTACTTTAAATGTAAATAGATTAAACTCTCCACTCAACAGACAGATACATGCAGAATGGATAAAAAAATGTGATCTGATTATATGCTGTCTACAAGAGACACAAATAGATTGAAAGTGAACAGATGGGAAAAGATATTCCACGCAAATAGTAACCAAAAGAGAGCAGAGGTGACTATACTAATATTAGAAAGACTAGACTTTAAATAAAAAAAATTACAAGAGACAAAGAAGGACATTATATATTAATAAAAGTTTCAATACAGAAAGAAGATATAACAATTACAAACATTTATGTACCTAACAACAGACTATCAAAATACATGAAGCAAAAACTGGCAGTGTTGATGGGAGAAATACCGTTCTACAGTAATAATTGGAGACTCCCATATCCACTCTCAATAATGAATAGAACAACCAGACAGAAGATAAGTAAGGAAACAGAGGACTTATACAACACAATAAATAAACTAGATCTAACAGACAAACAGACATACAGAATACTGTACCAAACAACAAAATCTTACACATTCTTCCTAAGTGATGGAACACTTTCCATGATAGAACATATGTTAGGCCACAAACTAAGTGTCAATAATTTTAAAACATTTATATTATACAAAATATCTTCTCCAACCACAACTGGATGAAGTTAGAAATTGATAACAGAAATAAAACTGGAAAATTCACAGATTTGTGGAAATTAAACAACATACTCTTCAACAATCAATGGATCAAGGAAGAAATCACAAGGGAAATTAGTAACTACTTAAACAAGAAGGGAAATGAAAACACAACATACCAAAATTTATGGATGCAGCAAAAGCAGTGACAAGGCCAGGGGGAAAATTTATAGTTATAAATGCTTACATTAAAAGACAAAAAAGATTTCAAATCAACAATATAACTTTACAACTTAAGGAACTAGATAAAGAAGAAAAACTAAACCCAAAGCTAGCAGAAGGAAATAACAAAGATTAGAGCAGAGATAAATGAAATAGAGTATAGAAAACCAATAGAGAAAATCAGTGAAACGAAAAGTTGGTTCTTTGAAAAAATCAACAAAATTGACAAACCAAACTTATTAGCTAGATGAATTATGAAAAAAAGAAAGAAGACTCAAATTACTAAAATCAGAAATGAAAGTGGACATTACTACTGATTCAATAGAAATAAAGCAGATTATAAGAGAGTACTATGAATCATTACACGCCAACAAATCAGATAACCTACATGAAATGAACAAACTGCTAGAAACACGAAACTTATCAAGATTAAATCATGAAGAACTAGAAAATCTAAATAGACATAACCAGTAAAGAGATTGCTTACTGCGAGGCAGGATCTCCCAGCTTGGGGAGCTCAGAGTCTTAAGGGAGAATGTGTTCTTGTCTATCAGGCAGGGTCAATCATTCTTGATGCTCTTGGAAAATAACTTTAGAAAAAACTCCAAACTTTGTGCAGTGCTAGTAGAAATGCAAAATGGTATAGCCCCTGTGTAAAACAGTAAGATGGTTGCTCAAAAAATGAAAAATGGAATTATCATAAGATCCAGCAATTCTGCTTCTGGATATATACCCAAAAGAATTGAAAGCAGGATTTTGAAGAGATATTTGTAGACTTATATTCATATTAGCATTATTCACAATAGCTAAACATGGAAGCAAGCCCAGTGTGCACTGATGAATGAATGGATAAGGAAAATACATGGTATATACATACAATGGAATATTATTTAGCCTTAAAAAGGAAGGAAATTCTGACATAATGCTACAACATAGATGAAGGTTGAGAATACTGTGCTATGTGAAACAATCTAGTTGTAAAAAGACAAATACTGTATGACTCTACTTATATGAGGTACTTAGAGTAGCCAATATCATAGAGACAGAAAACAGAATGGTGATGGCCAGTGGGTGGAGGTAGTGGGGAGTGGGAAGTTATTGTTTAATGGGTATAGAGTTTCAGTTTTACAAGATGAAAAGAGTTATAGAGATGGATGGTGGTGATGGTTACACAATATTGTGAACGTATTTAATACCACTGAATGGTACACTTAAAATGGCTAAGATGGTAAATTTCATGTTATGTGTATTTTACCGTAATGAAAAAAATTGTTAAAAATAGAAAAAAAACACTATCTGGC